TAACTTGCAGAAACTAGAACTTCACTATTTCTTCTTAAAATTTCATTGTAGTATCAATGCTTTCATATGTGATCTATGTATAACATTTTTCACGCTCTCCTGCATTGGCTCGGATTTCAGTACCTAAATATACATGCACATCTATTGAACCACCAGTAATAATTTGATCAACATATGCTATATGCATTAAATTGCAGTTATAGATGTACATCTGATTTGCCAGTGTGCAGAGTAAGCAAGACTACCTTGAAAGAAAAAACTAGATCCCAGAAACATTTGCAGTATAATGTGTTAATCCAAGGATTCTTGTCATGTCAACAGGTCATCTGTATGTAAAAAGTGATGTATATGGATTTGGTGTCGTCTTGCTTGAGCTTTTAACAGGCTTACGAGCACTTGACACTAAACGACCTGGCGGACAGCATAATTTGGTGGACTGGATGAAACCGATGCTTTCTAACAAAAGGAAGTTGAAGTCCATTATGGACGCCCGAATGGAGGGCCAATATAGTTCAAAGGCAGCAACACTTACTGCTCAGCTTACTATAAAATGCCTAGAAGGAGAACCTAAGAAGAGACCTTCTATGAAAGAAGTAGTGGAAGTGTTGGAACAAGTTGAATCCATAAAGGAGAAATCCAAACCTTCCAAAAGCAAAACCGAGTCTTCATCTCATCGATACAAGCAGTCGCCGAGAAGTTATCCTTCTCCACGTGGTGCAAGTAACCATGGATCCGGAGCCGGATCTGGAAGATGACAGGTACAACTGGAAAAGCAAACGCGAGCTGCAGAAAAATGAGTTTGTTTATACATTTAATTGTATTGAATTTGTTGTAATGCAATTTGGTTAATCATTGTTTTGGATAACAAATTTTGTAAAATTGTCTGTCACATCTGTACTCCATGAGAAGAATACTGATTTCATTTGTGGAAGGTATGACTACAGCTAAGATTAACAGGCAGTCCTGCCTGCTGAAATGTAAATTTGTGTAAGCCAAAAGCTCTTGTAAGGCTCCATATGATATATATCTGAATTTGAATGCACGTATGAATATTAAGATTTGAAAACTAATTAATTTAGATAGTTTGTTTTCTCAATATTTGAACAAAGTTTTTTGTTATAGAAAATTAATAAATGTAAAATTTAAATAAAATACTAATTATTCGTTGTGGTGATGATTAATAGTGGTGGTTGTGATTGTTGACAGACGGTGATAGGATTGTTGGTAGTAATTAGTGATGATGGTGAGTGATAGTAGTAGTTAATAGTGGTGATTGATGGTGGTGTCAACTAATAATGGTAGTTGGATGATGGTATAACTGATAATAACTAGGTTGTTCAAAATCGAACCGTCACCAATAAGTCAACTGTAAAATTGACTTATCCATTTAGGATTATTGTAATTACATTTTCATCGTAACTATATTTATTAAATAATTGTTTATGTGCATGAAACCTCAAAATTTAGACTTTCATATATTTTTCACCATGATTTACATTTACAAAATTACCAGAAATGCGCTTGTTTGCCCATAGGGACCAACTAACTCTATTACAAAGGTCTTAACGGACGTCCATGAAATTTTTTGGCCAAAATCAAGCCGGAATTCCGGATTACCGAAAATCCATGGACTATAGCACTAGAAAATCGGCAAAATCTGGGTTTACCTACTTTGGGGATCGTTTGAACTTCAAAATGCACCTGTTCGCCCCTCGGATCAAACTGGCTCCATTACTAAGGTCTTAACAGATGTCTATGAAAAATTTCAGCCAAAAACAAGCTGGAATTCCGAATCACTGAAAATTCATGGACTATAGCACACAAAAATCGGCAAAATCTGGGTTTTCCTTCTTTGGGGCTCGTTTGAACTTGAAAATGCGCCCGTGTGCCTCTCGAGACCAACTGGCTCCATTACTAAGTTCTTAACGGACGTCCATGAAAAATTCGACCAAAAACAAGCCAGAATGTCGGATCACCAAAAATTCATGGACTGTAGCACACAAAAATTGGCAAAATTTGAGTTTACCTGCTTTGGGGCTATTTTGAACTTGAAAATGCACTTGTTTGCCCTTCGGTACAACCTGACTCCATTACTAAGGTCTTAACGGTCATCCATGAAAAACTTTGGCCAAAAACAAGTCAAAATTCCGGATCACCAAAATTATATACCGGCAAAATATGGGTTTACTTGCTTTGGGGCTCGTTTGAACTTGAAAATGCGTCTGTTTACCCCTCGGGACCAACTGAATCAATTACTAAGGTCTTAACGGACGTTCATGAAAAATTTCGATAAAAAACAAGCTGGAATCCCGGATCACCAAAAATATATGGACTATAGCACACGAAAATTGGCAAAATTCGGATTTACCTGCTTTGGGGCTCGTTTGAACTTTAAAATGCGTATGTTTTCCCCTCGGGACCAACTGACTCCATTACTAAGGTCTTAACAGACGTCCATGAAAAATTTCAGCCAAAAACAAGCCGAAATTTCGAATCACAAAAAATCCATGGACTATTAGACACGAAAATCGGCAAAATCTGGGTTTACCTGCTCTGGGGCTCGTTTGAACTTAAACATGCACTCGTTTGCCTCTTGGGACCAACCGACTACATTATTAAGGTCTTAACAGACGTCCATGAAAAATTTCACCCAAAAACAAGCCGGAATCTTGGATCACCAAAAATCCATGAACTATACCACATGAAAATCAGAAAAATCTAGGTTTACTTACTTTGCGGCTCGTTTGAAATTGAAAATGCGCCCGTTTCCCCTCGGGGGCAATTGACTCCATTACTAAGGTCTTAACGGATGTTCTTGAAAAAATTCGGCCAAAAACAAGCCAGAATCCCGGATCACCAAAAATTGATGGACTATAGCACATAAAAATCGACAATATCTGGGTTTACCTGCTTTGGGGCTCGTTTGAACTTGAAAATTCTCCCGTTTGCCTCTTGGGACCAACCGGCTCCATTACTATAAATGATCAGATGTTATAAATTTCATTTTCCTTTTACATTATTAATGTTCGTTACTACATAATCTTGTATGTAAGACAATATAGTGTTTTAGTTTTAATGATTGGTAGGTCTTAAGTATTATTTTATAAATTCTGTTATATTTAAATTCCCGCACAAGGCTTGGATAATTTTACTAGTTATATATAATATCAGTTTGGTTTGGTCCCGAGTTGACTTTCTTTAGTTAAAACCAAATCACTAGATTGAGTTTTTTCTTCGATTTGACTCGATTTGCGATTTAGTTCAATTTTGTTCACCCCTACTGCCTAATAAGCTAGAGAAATGACATAAATAATCCCTTAACTATAGAAGTAGGTCTAAAACGGTCCTTTAACTATACAATTAACGGATTTAGTTCTTTAACTATTGAAAAACTTGTTAGCTTTGGTCCCTTAACTATACACTTACCGGTTTTGGTCCCTTAACTATAAACTTACCGATTTTAATCCTTTAAGTATTTAAAAACTTATCAAGCTTGGTCTTTGTCCATTTTTGTAATACAAATACCTTAGGTTTATATTAACGGAATCCATGCCTTGAGAAATTAAATCCTTTAGATACTTTTCATGTTGTTTCTCTCTCCGTTACTTTTTCTTCAAATTAACCGTATTTGAAAAACCTTAACCTTAACTGTTTAAAATAAAATTCACGAGGAAAGAAAATATAAGTCACAATTTTATTCAAACGAGGATAAAATAGAGCATATTATTGTTATTAATGACTTGAATATGCTAAATTTTATTATAAAAAAAAATATTACCCATTAAATCCAAAGTTTTACTCCAACGACTTCATTGAACGAACTTTGTTTAATTTTTTCAGAAATTGAAATTTATAAAATGGTAGACTTGCAATTTTTTTTAACTTTTTTTAAATAGATCAATTTTATTATTCTATTCATTTTATTTTACGTAAAGAAATTTGAGTAAATTGAATAAAATCCGCACTGAATAGCATATTCAAGTGTTTAATTTTATCCTCCATTAAATAAAATTAGAGCTTATATCTTCTTTCCTCATTAATTTTATTTTGAATTGTGGACGTTATTGTTCTTTTCATAAGAGTAGTTTGAAGAAAAAAGGACGGGATAGAGAAACAACTTAAAAAATGGGTTAAAGATTTAATTTCACGAAGATTTCAGTTAGTATAAATCTAAGCTATTTGTATTTAAAAAATGGACAAAGACCAAACCTAATAAGTTTTTGAATACTTAAAGGACTAAAATCGGTAAGTTTATAGTTAAGGGACTAAAACCGGTAAGTGTATAGTTAAGGGACTAAAACTGATAACTTCTTGAATAGTTAAAGGACTAAATATGTTAAGTGTATAGTTAAAAGACTAAATATGTTAAGTGTATAGTTAAAAGACTATTTTAAACTTACTTGTATAGTTAAGGGACTATTTATGTCATTTTCTCTAATAAGCTAGCTCAATTTCTCAGTACCAGTCTACCACCACAAACTTCAGAGTGCTTTACACAAGTCTCATTCAACATAAACCATAATCAAATTGAATATATAGAGTAGTCATTGAAAGACACCAGGAACAATGGTTAGCCAAAACACACACCATATGATGCCACTTATTAGCTGGCATAATGAATTTGTTTCAAAATATTTAAAATTTTAGAAAAACAAAAAATCACTTTGTTACTCACCCCCCCCCCCCCCCCCCCCCCCAATATATCCTTACTGTTCTAACTAGTGGAGTTTTTATTGAGAAATACTCTTATAATTAAGGCTATTAGATGTGTTTCTCAAGAAATTTGCAAAAACCTTTAAAGACAATTATATAAGGAGGAAATTAGACCTTATTTCTATTGTGGGACATGTACAACCAGTTTTTATATTCAGGATCCATCTCAATTCCCAACCACCTTGTTGACATGAGATTTTCTCAAACAAAAAAAGGATGAGTTATGGTGAATATTGAACAATCCATTGTTGCATAGAAAGGTCATATCAAACATAAATGAAGAACCAGCAGAAATTACACTGGCCTACGTCGAGGCCAAAGTTAAATTTCTTTCGTATGACTTCACAAAGTATTATTGGACCAAAATTCCAATCTATAAACAATCATTCATAGCTAAACCCTCTGAAATGAAATGATCGAAGTTATGACATGAAAGCACAAGTGGTAAAAAACAAGAAAAAAAATCTATAGCCAATCCATTGCAGTGTGATTCCTCACCAAGAATACAAAAGTAAATGAATATGTTGACTAGCAAAGCTAGCAACTTCAGCAAATATGGCAACTAATCCAGTATCTTAAACTTATAAATTAACGCCTTGACTGGTGCAGGCGAGGCCTGTTACAGAACATGCGACCATTGGCCTTCACAAGTGCAGCTATGGCCAAACTTATGCTTGCCCAAATCAGTGAAAATAATAGGTTCCAAACATCATTCTGAACTGTAGATGGAAGAAAACAAGAGCGTCATATAAGGTTTATGAGTATCAAGAGATGTAAAGATTGTCACAAATGTTGTACTCCAAATCAAATTATATTGGCAAAGATCCTTTACTACCAGGCAGAGTTTTTCCCTCCACCAGAATTGCACGCACTCTCACAGAGAAAAAAAGAAAGAAGATCAAGAAAATGCAGCATAAAGGGCATAAATAATCCCTTCATCTTGAAATACATAGTTTTTTACCCATCTTGTATACATACTGCAAATACACTCCTTTGGGAGTTCCATTGTGCTCTTTAACCCTAATTTCATATCTTAAGTCATGATTGATAACAGGCATGACTATAGAACATGAATACATGATCAAGATATTACTAGCACATGGATCATTTTACTCTAGAAAGTCATGAGGCCATATAAAACCCTTTCAACCCCCACCTCACCAAAAAAGAAAAAAGAAAAAAGAAAAAAGAAAAACTAGAAGCAACTAAACTGGTTTGATTATTGAGATAGAAATTCAAAAATAATGATCATACAGTAGAACCATAGGAAAATTTCCATGTATGGAAGCTCACCTCTCCCCAGTGACAAGGTAGCAAAAAATAGGCCAGTCAAAATCAGTCCCAAGGCAAGAGGAAATGACTGCACATAGAAAAGATTATAATTAGGTGAGATGATATGACTGACAACGTCAAAGTCTGCTTAAAAAGATCACCACATATTTGGACCCGATGATTGTTACGAGAAAACAAAAGGGAAATATAACAAAACAAAGATATATAAAGATATTGTATTATCTACGTACTCAAAAAAAGTTTGGACACATTTTCCAGTCAAGTTTGGGCACATTATGACAATCAAATGGCAGTCAAGTAGATTAAAAGAAAAAAAAGGCCAGCCCGGTTCATGAAAGGGCTGCAACCCTAGTGTTCTGGCTTTGGGTACCATAATCACTTATCATGTATCTGTAAATGAACACTCTTTTCAGTCCTTTGAACTCAGATTGTGAGTAAAAGAGAGGGACAGGTATTACTATATACAACTCTCCTAAAATACTGGTATTTTCTGGCTGGCAATTCTCCTTTCAGTTGCATGCCTATCTTTTGTCTTGACGTGTTGGGATCATAAATGGATTCCCCGAGAAATTTGAGACTAAAGCTATTCTTACAGTTGAGGGAGCTCAGTGAAGACATAGCTTCACCTACTTTATTCCACAATTCCAGTAAATGATAAATATGGAATATGATTGAGGTGAATCGCCTGTTAAATAGTAATGGATTATGATATAAATGCCCAACTCCTACAAAATACAACTCTTTTGATCATTTCTTCGCATGTACCTGCAGTAGCATTCAAGTAAAGTCCTTTGATTTCACCTGTTTCATTTTATACTTTGAAAATTGTTTCTCTCGCAAATTAGTTAACAATCTCCCTAATATATAAATGGCTGTGAGTTCACAATCTCGTCAACTTTGTTAGTGAAACATCAAAATTAATAGCTCCGGAGAAGCTTTAACCAAATAACCCAAATTTAGTTATAATAGTGCATTTAAGATCATGGCATTTACTTGCACCAGATAGTAACTTGTAGAGGTATTTGCAAGAGCATTAGTGTGATGGATCAACCTTCAGAAGAGAGTTTCACCAACTAATCTCATATCCGCACAAAATCTCTACTAACCAGGCAACAGGATACTATCTACACTGTTTTTACTATTCCCCTAATTTTGAGATATGTCTTGTATTATCTTTGTTTGTCCCCTAGGTCTACCTCATGCACAAAGAGGGTCCCAGTTAAGAACATGAAATATTAAATTCACACAAACTACTTTAACCCTGTTAGGTTACCAATGAATGCAACATTTTGCTATACAGGTACTCAGTAGAATCTGACAAATAGGAACAATAAAAACTTGATATAGTAAGAATAAGTAATAGCACTCACAGCTATAGCCTCAATTCCTCCTTTCTGCGATGTCGCCGTCATATCTCGGGAGACAGACATAATGTAATGTCCTTGCATTAGATCGATTGCATCCTTCAGAAAGTGTAAGAAGAAGATAGAATTTAAGTGTTTAAGTAGACATGAGAGAAGTATAAAAAGATTGTAAATTCTTTATCCTATCATCTCCCTAGCAATTAAGAAGAAAGTCATCCATCAAATATCAATAAATCAGAATGAAGACAAGCGAGAGACTAATCAATGCATGACTGCAATTACTACATCCCACATACACCCAGATACATGATTTCAGTATCATTCAAAGAAAACTTTTCCAATTTTTTTATGAACACATGGTACATGTAGGTACAAATGGATGCAAACTTAGTAACATGAAGTAACTAATTGCTGGTATGAGTAGCAATACCTGTTTTGTGCCATCAACAAAGTTGTTCAAGTAGTATCGCATTAGGGCATTGCGACCATCATTGACTATTCCTTGGACTGTTCTCTTACCAAATCTGCATCAATAGCCATTTTAAATTGCAATCATAGGTGAACAAAATACTTAGGTTCAGAATAGTAGATTTTCAAGATTATTGACGAAAGTACATGCACATACAAGTGCTAAATCCATGATTTAATTCTAAATACAGAACAAAAAACATCTTCAACTTTCCAGCTAAGACTTCTAAATCTTCAAAAGATTGTAGTCTTTTTATTATATTACTGATTTGCAAAAGCAAATCTAGTTGCGCGCAGATACTGCTAAAACAACTCCAAATTGGCATGTGACTGACAGTTCACCAGGAAAGGTTTATGCATGCATATCAGCAAATATAAGAATCTGACTGGTGAATTTAAGGTTCAATTACATATGCACAACTAAATATGCCTATAATCTGAAATACTGGCATAAAAATTGCTGCCTGTGTTTTATCCCTCTTAAAAATAACATCTACACATTTCAGCTGAACAAGAAGAGACATCTTTAGCATGATCGAAGAGAAATTTACCTGACAAAATCTCCCTTTAGGGCTGGAGTACCAGAATACTGTATGCTTATATCATCCCCATGGTTGGCCCACACTGCACTTAATCATATAAAGTTAAAAAGAAGATAGACCAAAAACCTGTAAAAGCAAGAATAGAACTAGGTGCTTCCATGAAAACCATTACAGTAAAAAAAAAATCATCTGCCACAAATTCTAACGAAGCAACATATACTCTTGAGAGAAAACATTAATACAGATTATCAAAAATTACTCACATATTTTGAAGCTCTCATCAAGGTTGGAGTGTGTGCTTATAGTTTCTTCAGCATCAAAAATACCAAGTCTTCTGAGTTGGAATTCCAACATTCTGCGACCAAGCATGCTCTGCAAATGAATATCATTTATTAGAACATTTACTTAAAGTAGGAGAGAAGAAATGCAGATCATGGCAGTAGCCTATATGGGTCAGCTTAATTGGTATGGGCTCCTCATGCGTCTTTTCTTGACTCAAGTCTCAGCTACAAAATATTGGTCCTCCTTGCCCCCACCCTCTCCCTCTGTCACCACTAGCGGGCAGTCCTCAACACACATAAAAGAAGGAGATCCCATACCTGAAACAAGCTAAGTAAATTTATCACCTTGCCTATATGTCCTCATAATTGCACCAAAAAGCTAGCACACACAAACATCTATATTTCATCTCCTGTACAGTGATTGCTTTAGCCTCAAAACACCTACATTTCCTCTCTGTCCAGAGGACCCAACATACACAAGCTGGAGCAGTTTACCAGATTTCCTTAGTACTTTGTTCTTCCATTGACACCCAAACCAAGTAGTAGATCAGGGGGGGAGGGGGGATTTAGAACAGTCCCTCGGTTCACCTCACGAACTAGTTTTTGGGATTGAGTTAGGCCCAAAGTCTCTCAACAAGGAGCATAACTACGTGTGTTAAGTGTCAATAGAAATAACATGCAAATATTAAGCAGTATCCTTTCACAGTGGCAAAGTTAAAACATGTTAAATTGAGAACAAGCACTGCAAATGGGACTCGACATTGTCCTCCCTGGACCAGTAAATCTGAGCGCTTCTTACATCCATATCCCTACAAAAAATCTAGTAATATTTTTATAGGTAGGAGATACCTGGGTGACATTTGTTCGGTCTAAGCAATCAATGCAGTTGGTCCTCACAACTCCAAGTTGCACCTCAACTTTTTCATCTTTCTCATTCAACAAAAAGTACCTAATATGGAAACAAGAAATCAAATTTAAGAATGACAGATCGGAAAAACAAGAAAGTATGTTGCTTGCAGAATAACAGAGAATGCGTTTCTACCTCTCCATGCATAATGAAACACAAAACCGTACAAAATAACTTTTCGATGCAGAGTAATACAGAGTCTATTTTAAAGACAGTAATGCCATTGCTTGTTACTTGCTCCACCAAGTATCAACATAGTCCACCTTTTTTTTCTGTTACCTTTTCTGGATGCTCTCTCTCTCACGTGGTTTTATTTTCACATAATTCTCAAATCTAAGCAAAAGAAAATATGTGTGCCCTTGCTGCTATTATTCTTTCCTTGCCCGCAATGCAGGTAGTCTTGGCATAAGCTTGTTGCATCTTAGATGCATAATATAAGATAAGCATCTTGCTTCATCAGCCCTCTGACTTCTGAAAGTGAAATATTGCTTTGTCTACTCCCTATTAATTAGAGAGAACAATTTTTTGAGAAGGAAAATTAAAACTGGACTTATTGACTAGTTATTGAGCATAAACCTGTCATTCAGATTCATGTTCGGAAGAAGGGGAAGAAAAATGTGCAAACAGGTACCCAGAAACCTCCAACTCAAAAAGAAAAAAAGATGTAAACCAACTAAAGCTCTCAACTATAAATCCGTGATATCCTGCATCCTTTAGACTGTCCTGCCCCTCAACATGCAGGCCAGAATAGGTGCCTGCATCCCATTTCGACCACCATCCCTATTCAGCTAGATAAGATTGGGATGATCCAGACTAGGAGAATGGTTTATGTGATCCCAAAGCACATGTCACAGTTGGTGGCTAATAATGAGCTAGGATGCAAGATACCATACATGAAAGCAAAGAGGATAATATTACACAATATATACATGAAAAGTAAACTCAAAGGAATATATACATGAACTGTAAAGTCAAAGGAGATTATACCTATTCTTTATGAAGAAATCCTCAATTTGATCATAAAGGATAGAAAGCCGCTCAAAATGAACATGCCCGCATATATGGTGAAAATCGAAGTGCAAGTATCTACAGAACTTGTTCAATATTAGACTGAAGCGCAGCAACTTAGTGTGATGATTAGATCACCAGAAGAAAAACCCTACCTTACATCATCACCATCAACATGCTGCATTGCATTGGCAAACTTTTCATTCAAACGCCCTTCTCCTCCATGCTGAAAGGTTTCAGAAAAGAAATGAAAAATTGATAAAATTGCATTACACATCACCATGAAAATATTTATAGCCACGTTTTTACATACGCGGCAATCAAACCACTTTCTATGTATCAGAGGACATTTTTTTTTCCTTGTGTTTTTTTATTTTGATAAGGTAAAGGTATTAGAGGACATCTTCTAGAGCAGCATTTTTGTTAAAAGAATTGTCAGATCGACTAGTCTGGAAAAAATAGAATAATTATTCAAAGATTGTACCTTGTTGACAAGATCAACTGATAGAACATTTCCGTATTTCTTTCTGAGGTCCAAAAAGTGTCTCTCAGCTACTCTAGGCTGTGGATACGTCACAAAATAAGGAATTATAACAGAAGCCATATAAAAAATGTGAAGAGAATGAAGACGCTGTAAAGCAGAAAATGCTACTCAACTGCTTCTTCAAGTCTCACAATCTCAAACTTAGGTTTATATGTCAAATCAACAATCTGATCCCACAGTAGTGGGATTGATCCTCTGACCTACAAAAGAAAAACTAAGAAGTTATACAAAACAGCATGATATCTCAAAAATATATACAAGCATGTGCATGTAATGAAACAAACCAATATATCTGGCCAAAAGGAATGAAGGTAGACATTTAAGATTGAAATTTCCCTACTTTATCATTTCATTGAAAACCCGAAAAAGTTATTTGTTTTATTTAACATAGATGATACAGTCTAATTTCGACCATCACAGATTTATGATGTTAAAACTCGTAAAGAATCTCTAATACTTTCAGTTCAAGTAATACGAGTTTTGGAATCAGTCAAATCAGATATGATGATATGTCAAGATTGAGAAATTCATCCTGGCCCTGATAGAACATCTAAATTTAGTAGATTTCCTATCGCAAATATAATTCCAAAGGATGGGTAAGCCAAAATATGTCGAGCAAATGTGACTACGTAGAAATACAACACCGAGTTTCTATGACATCTTTTCCGACTTCTATTGTTTGTTAAATGCTACTTATCACCAGATTCAGAGCTTCACTCAGTTCTGTTCTTATCAGAGGGTAAGCTATAATCCTGTGGCCTGCAGGAAGGAACTAATAGTAATCCTGGTGAAGCCTGGAGAAGTTAAGTGATATATCTTAATTAAGTTCTATTGCCGTTGGAAAATCCAAACAGTATTGTTGATCTCAGAAGCCCGTATTGAGACTTGAACGTTTTGTCATCACTAAGTTCATAATTATTTTTTTTGAGGTGTTTAACACAAATAATTTAATATACAGCAAGCATGACTTGTAGACAGAATGATCTTTAACACAAAATGCTTTTGATGATTGAACAAGTACCTAAGTATACTAGAGGTAACTTGTCTTACAACCATGATTAGTCGAAACTTTGTTTTATCAGCCAGAAAGGAAACAATGAACCAAAAAAAAAAAGTAGGGAAAAACAGAAAGCTGAAGGTGATACACTTCTCCACTCAACTCTTAGTTGCATTGTGCAGGGTGGAACAAAAGTTACTATAGTTAGTTAGTGTACCTGATTTTCCTAGGTGACCTGAAGTATCTCCTGCCGAGAATATTAAGTCACCGCTGCATTTAGCAAAAAATATCGATTGGTGTATTCGGCAATATTTGCATAAATTTTGGTGTTGTTTACCACTTGTTTTAGTGTTTTTTTGTGTGCATAAACCATTGAAAATGGTCAATTAGGCTTGATTATGAATTTTGGATGTTTAGGAAGCACTTAAAAAAGGAGACAAATTAGGATAGCTTGGGACGAAATTTAGTTAAAACTGGAAGATCTGGACAACCTGAAGTTGACTCACAGCCAGTCGTGAGAAATACTTAGGAAAATTTTGCAAGATTTTGGGACTTGTAGTGAAGGAAGACTCTACCACAGCTCCATCCCATGAGGAATCTGGGGACTGGATGATCAATCTGGGTGGCTCTTGCCAGACTAATGTCGTGGTTCGAACTTCCATCACAATAAGGAAAAATCTAGGCAGAAACAGGCGAGCTTATTTTAGTCCACACAAGATTTCTAGGCCATGTAAAATCCCTTCTACCCTATTTTTAGCAGACATCCCGACTGATTTACCAAAGCTTTCTTGAAGCTTGGAAGAACCCAGAGTCCGTTTCAATTAAAGATTTTAACAGTTTTTTCTGAGCTCTTCTTATTTTCTACTGCTGAGGATGTAGTTTTGACTTGGTAGTTGGTTCACAAACACGAGTAGCTAAATTTCTTATCTAGGGTTTCAATAGAACCTCTTGTTGGATCAGCTTTTTACTGTGTTTTCCATTAATCAAGCCTTTTTCAGTTTCATTTGGTCAACTATGATGTGTATGATGTTTAATTGGTGAGCTCTCAATTATTGTGCCCTAAAATCTTGTCATGATTGGGAAAAGAATCACGATTGGGTTTTTGTTGTGCAACAACACTTCAAAGTAATTAAGGAATTAATTGTTTCGCTTCACAGGTATTAGGGATGATTTGACCTTGTTGTGATATCTTTGATGAGTTGGTTACATGAATACTTAACTATGGGCTGTAGCTATTCGAATTTATTGGATATACTATGAAGTGTAGCTATTGGAATTTATTGCTAATAATTGGGAGATGTTAGGGATAATATAAGAACTCATGATCATTTGAGAAGAATTAGGCCGGGTTAAGAGAAACACACCATTAGTTCAATCCGACAATTGACAAATAATGATCCTATTGAATACTCCTCCATCTATTTAGTTGGCTATTCTATATATTTCTTTATTGGTTAGTACTAATTCATAACATAAAAGAATCTTCTTTTCATTACTAGGAAATTGTTTGAGTTTTTGAATCTAGTAATATTAACTAGCAATCAATAGATGCAGACTACCTGTGGGTTCGACCCCAGACTCAAACGGCAGGTTATATTTGCAGTGATTGCTTCCTTATTTTATGACTAAATAGGGTGTGATCAATTAGTACATATTTTATTCAAGCATGAATAAATACTAACATTTATTTAAATTGTAAACCAAAAAAAGGAAAAAGGGTATCACCCTCTAATCACGTATCAAGAAAACCAGAGTAATTCACGAAAAACAAGAAAGGATGTAGAAAGAATCACACCATCACATTGTTAAACAAGTCTACCTGAACAAATGATGCAGTACATCCATTCAGCTGTATAATTTGCTCGCTTTCCACAAAATTTGCAACAAATCCATCAGTATCAGCACCTCTTCTCCACATTCGAGTGCCTACAATGATTATGAATAATTAACATAAGCAAGAGATCAGGTTATTGCTAATTATAGTTTTCTTAGAGCTCTCTCTCCATGATCAGAAAATCTAGCGATTGTTTGAAGGATAACTGAAGAAGATGAGAAAAGTAAAAGCTACTTTCTTCATTATTGATACTGATCAACCTAATAAGCTAAAATCACTTATCAGATAGAACCTAAATACAAAGTCATCTATACAGTACTGGAAATGTGTTACAAGCAATTCATCTAAGAAAATATTTCTCTTTAGGCACAATAAAACCAAGTATTAATCTGGAGATTTAAGGCCTAAAAATATAAAAAATTATATTCATAGTCCCGAAAAACATTATCTAGGATTTACTTTAAACTGACAGTATCTGAAGTGGGTGTAAGTAATGATCATAAAAAGAAAGTTGTAATGTACATAAAACAGTAAAGGACGAAAGTAAGTGAAGTCAAGAGCAGAAAAGACATAACATGGTAAGAATCATATGTAAAGTCCATATGCCAATGACATTACATGAACATTGAACAGTCAAATAACAAAGAAGCAAGGTGCATTATGGGCCTTTCAAAGAATTACACAGTTGAATCACCATTGATATCTTACAGTAGTTAATTGTTACCATTTCAAAAAATATCATTCACCAGTTTACTTATCAAAAACAATATATATCATTCAGCAGATAATGAGGATTGATGGTTCTACAGAAAACAACAACTACAATTCCATTCCTTCAATCCCATTGATCATTTTTGTCAAATTGCACAGTTAAGAATGAAACAACAAGAAGAAAGCAAAGAATACCAGTTCTCCTATTACACCTCCTTGCAATCAGTGTAACATCAACAATGTCTTTCCCAATTGCTGCTTGAAAGTTGTGAAAACCTTATCAAAAGTTAAGGTATAACCTCAAAAGATAGCAAACAAAAATACCCTTAAACATGAATTAAAGCCATGCAGGTTAAAAAACCATGTATAACTGAATTGCAAGGATACTGCCTTGGACAACTGGAAGCAGGAAGGGGTCGAGCTGTCATGGCAAGAAAAACAGATGAGTTACAAATCTAGAGTAGATCCAACAAAATGAATGAAACTCACAAAATATATTTACCTTGTGATCTATTAGCACTTCCATCATATAGTTGTTCCAAAGAAACCGAGGGTCTGCCTGTGCAAAAACAAATGAAAGTGAAGTTATCAAATCAATATTCAAGAAAATTGTTAACCAATCAACAACAGGTTCTATATCAGTTAAAAACGTAACAAGCTACCACATATGAGTAAATGACTAGACTATGGACTTACATTTATGTAGAATCTAAAAGACTTACTTGTCTCCATAGAGGAAGCAACTTGGATTCATCACCCAAATCATGCAATCGCTGAGCACTGCAGTAGGAACCATAAGTTTCATATTATTGAGGATTGCACCCTATATATTCTTACAATCAGATGAAATGTAACAGTGATAGAAATATGTCATAATTCTAGTGTACTTTAAATTAAGAACAAGTAACTTCAAGTTTAAAAACTTTTAAAATGTAAAATTCACCTCCAAGAATGCTAACCTAAAATAAGATCTATGACAAAGGGGGATAGCTGAAACATAGCTTGCTTAGTTTATTGTCTAAGGTAGGGAGATACACTTTACAGGGGTTCAACGTAATGAGATCAGCATAGAGGGAGATGCAAAATAAGAACCTTAAAAGATATAAAAATTTGGCACTGAAGTCTGTTATACGCTAATTAAATGACCTTCAGAAAGAACTGACTTGAATTCTGAAGCCCTTTTTTTTTTTTTTGCAAAGTTAACTTCTATAGAAAATCACATATGTGTCCTTTTTATATAGCACTTTCCAGGATAACTCAAATATTTTTTTTAAAAAAAAAAAACATAATTCTTCAAATTTAGACAGTTGGATACCCAATTCGCTCAAATGATCAAAACAACCGTATACTTCACCTAAATTAACATAATGAACATTGTAGCCTCAGAGGTATGTTCATCTTAGTTCAACATAAATTATTATGTCTCCACATTCTCAATGTTAAAGACGACCAATTCAAACATCAAACATCTAAAGCTCAGAATTTCATGGTCCATGCTTTAGTGTCAAGCAATAGCCACTTATAATACTCTTTCAACCAGAATGTTCCCATTTCTTGAAAATAACAAGAACAAATAGTTTTTCGTAGGCACAAAAAGCTAGTTGATCAATTTCCAAGCACCTTCGAGAAAAGAAATAAAGGAAGCAAAGCTTGTTTAAGCACTGTAAATGCGATAAGATAATTCACCTCAATGTTATATTGACATCATAAGAAAAGTACAGACCAGGAGTCTTTTCTGCTACATTTAGCAGGGCAGAAAACTCAGCTTCCATTTTTTTCTGCCGAAGGAAAAAGAAAAATCATTGCAACAGAAACAGAAACAGAACCAACTAGATACGCTTCAAAATAAACAGAGATAAGAAGATAGATATGAGAAACTACCTGTTCAACAGGAGTGTTCTTGAGAGAATGATCACAAGGGAAAACCTTCATTGATGAAACTTTAAAGATAGGGTGTCCCATATAAGATCCAACACTTTCACGTTCTGTTATGACCAATAAATATGATCCTGAATGCAATAAAATGAGAACTTATGACCATTCTTTTCTGGAACTTTGATGTTTTCCTGCAACCTACCATATTCTATTTATCCATTCCTCTCAGAGTATAAGTATGATAGATAAAAAGGAAGAGGTTTTTGATGGCATGATAAAACTTTTTAGCGACTTCTAAAATAAGTCTTGTTTTCCCTTCCTTACTGTTTCAAACATATCTGTGCAAGACCAAGAGATTGGTGCAATGATTCTAACCGAATTACTTCGTAGAATGATCTGTGAAGAGGATGATCAAGAAAAGGGATACTTTCACATACAAATTATTTAATCATAATATTCTCCTATTAACACAGAGAACACTCAGGGAAGGAAAAGGGATTCCTAAATGCACTTAACTGCCATAACAGTTGTTCCGCTACAGAAGTAAAAACAAAAAACTCAAACTTTTACTGACTTGCCTGCCAAAAGCTTTAATATCCCAATAACTCCAAAAATTGTCCGAATTTTGGGAACACGAAGTGAACTGCAATGTGGTATCTCATCTAAAGAAGAGAAAATATACAAGGAAAGAACAAAGTTAGCTTATAGAAAAACTAAAAACCAGTAGAGCATTTGAAAACAGCAAAATAAGAAAGCAACCTATTAGTTTCATCGACCCATCCACACGACTGATTTCCAAACATGAACCAGAGGATCCATCAGTAGGCTCAACAACATATTGGTCTGGAAATTCCCAAAGTCGCATCCGTTTATACAGTTTCTGTGAAGAATCTCCCTTCTCCATCATTATTGGAATTCAATCACTATAAAATTGTAAGACAAAATCAAATCACTGAACCATAATTGATACTATCATTTTTAAGTCTCAAAATAAGAAACATAACAGCATTAAAATTCTAACAGGATGACAACAAATTGCAATAAGGAAAAGAAACCTGTGAAATTACAAAAGTGATGGTTGCATGCTGCACTGTGTAAAAGTAATTCAGCTGGGTTTTTTTTTTCTTTTTGCTCATGTCACAACTTACCCAAGTTGACACCCCAACGTTTCTTCATTTATTCAAACGATTTCTTTATTATCTATCTTTCATAGACTAAAAACAATGTCAGGAAAGTTGTTTCTATTGAATATATATCCGATAATAACTCAAGCAGATCTAATAATCGAATCTTCCACAACCTCCTGATGTTGCTTAAACAAGATATACATCAGCTAACAAAAACATCTCAAACAATGATCTAACAGTTTACTGAGATTCCCATCACCAATTCTACCATCAAGATTTGACCTTTAAGGGATATGAAATACAACCCATGAATTGTAGAAACAGAGTAAGCAATATGTATAATAAAACCCCAGAAACAAGAAACAAATAAAGAAATGCAAAAATTGAATACCTGAATGGAGAATCTGCGAAAAACTAGAAAAGGGGTGATTCTAATAAGGGAGTAAAATCAATAGAGGCAGTGGGGGTAGGCTGAGGCCAACCCAAAATCAAGAAGGAGCAAGAGTGGCAGCAATAGTAGAAAGTAAATCGAATAAATTAGAGAGAACAAAGAAGAAAAAAGGTTCTTTTTTTGTTTAGTTTCACTATTATTTGGGCGCAAAAACAAACTCAAAGGTGGATGGAATGAAAACAAAAAAGGGGAAGGAATGATACAACGTTTGATTCGCTACCAATTTAACGGAATACCCAACTCTTCCCTTACTTCTCGCTTTCAACACTAGTCTATTCTCTCTAATTTTTTATTCATATTTGATATCAGTATTAGAGCTTCAATAAAATTTAAATCGTGTACAATGTAGAACCTATTTTGTGTTTAATTTACTGCTCAATGAACTGTGCACTTAAAAGCACTATATTCATAGTTTGATAGTTAGTTTGAAAGTGAGTTATGTCATTGTTAATACTATATATGTTTAACGATACTTATCTATTATTAACTTTGCACATTTCTTAAAAAACTATAAATAGAGGAGTAATTTTACTATATCACATTTTGAATATAAAATAAAGGGAAAAATGTATGAAATAGCAAACTATTAATTCAAATTAAATGTTATAGTCATAGTTTATTTTATTTGTAATTCGCAGCAAACATCCTATTTTTTTGTCATCTGATTCGGTATACAATTAGCCATTTTCGGTATACAATTAGTCATTTTATATATTTCGGTATAAAATGTGTTTGTGTTTGTATAAAGCGAGAGAAAAATGTATATATAAATACAAATACATATATTTTCGTCCTATACACTTATAATTATACAAATACAGATCTTATTATACAAATTACAATGTATAAATGAATTTATACAAAACTTAATAATTTGTATAAAATTGGATGTATCTAGCGAATTATACAAATCAAAAGCTCCATAGCAAACATAAAATTTGCTATGGAGCGCAATTATGCAAACTATAACTATAACATACAAATATATTTTTTATGTTTGCTATATGCAAAAGTTGCTCTATAATAAATACAATGTCTTGAATAATGTGATAGGGAATGACTATAATTAATGATAAGGGGAAATTTAAAAAACTAAGTGCAAAATTATAAATTGATTTCATAAGTGGACAAGTATTGTTGAATATCCCAAAATAGTATAATGGACAATTATTGTTGGACGGAGGAGTTCCATGTTCGGTAGCTAATTATAATATAATTTTTTTATGTATAAAATTTATATTTTGTGGTTGATTTTTTATTTAGAAACTTATGTATTATTTTATATATATATATATATATGAAAATTATATATTTTTTTTTTATATATTCTTTTTAAATAATTTCTACATTACTAATATTTACATAACTTTTATCAGCTAACAAACGACTTCTAAGTGCTTCATTTTGTATATATGATTGAAAACAAAATCTGCCATTACGTCTACTTAGGGTCTTTCGAAAACAATTTATCTAACCTTCATGAGGTAATCAGAGGCGGAGCTAAGTGGGGGTTCATGGAACTCACTAGCTTTTTCGCAAACCCTATATTTATATTAAAAAATTAAATAAATATATGTACATTAATATGCGAACCCCCAAACAAATTGATTTAGAACCCTCAAACTCCTAATCTTGGCTTCTCCTCTGGAGGTAATGCTAAGATTTACATATATTTTACCTTCTTCAAACTTCACTTGTAAAATTTCACTGAATATGTTATCGTTGAACGAATAGAATATAAATTCATTCGGTTATGAACATTGAGATAATAATATAAAAGTTTATGCACTATGTTGGTATAAAATGCACAATCATTATTTTAATCCAACGTGTTATAGTAAACCTTAGTACATGTTCAAAAATGTCCTGTCGCCCTGTCAACCGGCGCTGGTGTGGTGGAATAGCACAATGATGCACTTCACGTTATTCTTTTCTTTATTTTTTCTTCCTAATAATGAACAAAATTCAAACATCTTTCAACCACCAGCATTTTTAATCAAATTTATAATCATATTTACTCAATTTATCATTTAGTCATACAAATTTTTCCCTATTTAGTGCACTTTGAGCCTTGGATAACCCCTAACAAGCTTTATGCCTTTAGATATGGGAGTGTTCCTGGTTCGATTTGGGTTGATTTCTATTAAAATTTAAATTTAAATAAATTTAGATTGTTTTTTAATTATTAAAAATTAAATAAAATATAATACGTATTTATTGATTTGGTCCTGTATTTTTTTTAAAAAACAATTTAATGATATTTTTTTCTTTCATTCTTTTCTTTACAACTAGAAAAGAATTTTCCATCATTTTTTAATTGTGATGGTTATAGTTTTCTTGGATCATGGTGAAAATATCTTAAGATCTATATACTTTAATCAAGTGAATAAAGATAATAAGAAATAGAAAAAACTAAGTAAATTCCATAGTTATTTCTTTGAATAAATGAGTTCGCATTCGTGATTTTCTTTTAAGAAAAAGGCTTAAGATGTAAACTTTATTAGTATATTAGAGATAAATAAAATTTTAACGAAAAAGTATGAAGTGTGTGTATATATATATATATATATATATATATTTAAATTGTGTGTGTAATTTTTCCGTCTGATTTGGTCTTTTATTCAGTTTCTTTTTGATAAAATAAAATTGGAACAAATATTATCAATTTTTGAAATTTAAAACCAAACTCAAACAAGATATCAATTGATTTAATAGTGATTTTATTTTAATTTTGTTAGTGAATTACAAATTACAATTCAAAAATAAAATATCTTCAGGCTAAGGTGCGAATATCTTGCTCCCTTTAAGGATATTCAAGCTCACTATGATAATTTTTTTTTAGGAAAAACTACATAAATGAGTCAAAAAACTCAAATTAATTACATGTTCATACCCTAATTCAAAGTAATTCAAGAAATACTTATTCTCTCAAAAAAAAATAAAAAATTACAACTCATACCCCCCCCCCCCCCCCTCTATTCATTAAGACTGATAATTTTCACTCAACTGATTAAATCAGTATATATATATACTTTATTGGTATTATTAAGGATTCTTGTTCAGAAATTAGTTATTAGTCAGTGACACTATAAACGTATATGTATATTGTTGTGGTATCATTAAAGTTTCTTGTTCAGAACTTACTCATTAGTCAATTTATGAATGAAGGACATATATATATATATATATATATCATTCATTCATAAATTGACTAATGAGTAAGTTCTTAACAAGAAACATTAATGATACCAATACAGTATATTTGAATCAGTTTTTGAATCATGACATTCATTCATAAAAGAGACACTTCAATCGGAAGCCTCATATTTTCATAAAACTAATTGATACTTTAGTCAAAAGCATCCTTGATTCATAAAATCTTTTATAACATCATGCATGCATATCAACATAGCTTGAATCATATCATAAAATACTTATATGACATGGGTTCATGAAAACACATTGAATACATTGAGATATGATCTAATCATTCATAATCATTCTATGGAGAGAAAATTTTAATCCAATTGAACTCATAGGAGAATCATGAAAATCCTAGAAATTAGGTAAGAATCATAAGTAGAAATTAAGGTTTCTTTAGGACTCAATAGGTGAAGAGAAACCCATTGATGAATTTCTCACATACCTTGATCAAACCTCATATTGCAATCTAGAAATGAGACTTGAAGCTTGAAGAATCTTTAATTGCCTTGGGAGGAAACTTGGAGAATATTTTTTTGGAGTTTTGAGAGTATGAGAGTGAATGGGGAGGTTAGGGGCCTTAGGTACCCTTTAGTCTTCTAAATAACCGTAGAATGACTTATTTTAGGAATTAAAAGAGTAGGAAAAGACTCAATTAACCCTTGTACACTGCTCTACGGACCGTACGATCCCTTTGTGAATGCCAAGTACTTAAAGTACAATTCTCTGACGAGGAACCATGGATCACCTTTCACGACTGGTACTATCAGGTAGTCAAACTTAATCCCTAAAACTTGACTTTCTGGATAATAATTCACGAGCAGGCCTCCACGATCCATAAAACCATGTACGACCCACACAAGCCCTTTATGGACTTCCAAGGTACTGAAATCAAGAGTTTCTGAAGTTCAAGTCTATAGATACCGACTACGACCCATCATCCTTTCTAAACTCGTATTGGCCAATCGTGCAACTATTTTTCTGAAACACCAATTATTTGAAGGGCACCCACTAGAAGAGGAGCTATGTGGGGGTTCGTGGGTTCGGACGAACCCACTAGTTTTTCTGTTAAGTTTGTATTTGTATTAAAAAATTATATATATACTTTTGAACCCCCTAACAAAATTGATTGACAGTTCAGTGGTAAGGAAGAACGGTGAAAATGCTTTTCACACATTTGTTGTGGGTTCGAACACCTTTCTCTTATGTTCTAAAATTTAGAACCTCCAAACTCCTAATCCTGGCCCCGTCTCTGATGTTATGCCGTAATTTTACTATCTTTAGAAAAACCACTTTTTGAAATGTTCTAAGTATAAAACAATTTGAGAAAAATACTTAGAAAAGAGTCTCCACTTAATTTTTTAGAAGAAATTAAGAAAACTTAATTTAAAAAGATTTTAACATATTAAATCTTTATAAATTTAGAGAAAATGGGTAAGAAGTTCTTATTTACGCTTCAAGAAAGTTTTTAAGGCATTTGAAGCGCCCGCTAACATGCGGTTATCCTACAACTTAGTTAGAATATATTTTGACTATTGTTTAAGAAAATGGTTTATTATGTAATAAAAAAAATTAGAATTTATTTGACTCATTTTTACAATAATAAGTTGAGCCAATTTAGTCGATAAACCAAGAAATCATTTTAATCTAATTAAAGTTAAGTGAAAGTTTTGACTAAAAATAAACATTTGAATAAGTAAATAAAGAATAAAGAGTTGATGAAATAAAATTTATTAAAATAAACCGACACAAAGAAAATAGTTCATCTTTTGGGGAATTCAACTAAGTTAATTAATGATTTTAAAGTTGGAGTTAATAATAATAATAAATTAGTCAAACATAATCAAAGCAAATAGAAGAGCAAAAGAGATAATGAAATTAGGCCCTTTCTTGGGCCAATTTCGCTGCAAATTTTTGGGGCTTTAACCCAATTTCCATTTTTGTATACATCGACTGTATATCAGCGTGTATATCAACTCTTTACATGTATCTCTTGCTTCCGAACACCTGTATTTTGCCTCATCTCTGTATTTTTGCATTTTGACCTGTATATCAGTCCATGGCCTTGTATAT